CCGGGCGCGGGGACCCCGGGGAAGACGCGGCTGGCGCGCGTCCGGGGCCCGCGCGGAGGGGCAGCTGCGCAGCGACCTGGGCCGCCAGGAGGAACGCGCGGCCCCCGCCGGCCCGCGCCTCCCACCTCCCACCTCCCCTCCTCCCGGTTGTTCTTTGTTCCGAGGCTGCGGGTAAGGCCGGATCCTCGCGGGCAAGGGTTCGGGGCGATAACTCAGACCAGGGGTGATAATCCACCCAAGCCAGACCAGCCTCCCCGCGCCCGCGAGTGAGGAGGCCGCTGAGACCCCGGCCGCTCTGCAAACTGTCCCCACCCGGCTCCAGCCCCAGTCCCCACCCCAGGCCTGCAGGGAAGGGGCTTAAGTTCGCGTCCCCGAGCGAGCGCGCTTCGGCGGGCGCTGGACGTGGGGATCCCTCCGCGCCCCGACCCGACGGGCGCCAGCCTCCTTTTGCAGACGGGGACAGGAGGGTGGGTGGACCCGCCCACTGACCGCGCTGCTTGGCCGTCTCGTAATCCGCCTTGCACACGAGCCGACTGTCTTCCATGAGGTAGAACTCGTCGCCCGTGGCCAGCTGCCGCTTGCACACGACGCAGGCGAAGCAGTGCAGGTGGTACACGAAATCCTGGGCGCGGCGCACCACCTGCGTGGGCGGGATGCCCAGCTGGCACGCGGCGCACTTGGTCCCGAACCGCCTGCGGGACGCACAGGGCGCGGCTCAGCGTGGCGTTTGGCGGCTCCTTCGCCCGGAGCGGGTTGGAGAGCGGCGAGCGGGGCGCCGCGCCGGGCGGTTCAGGAGGGAGGCTCACCCCGGCCCTGCCCCTAAATCACCGGCCCGGCAGCCTCGGCGGAGCCGCACAGAATACAGGGAAGGGACCCAGGGACCCTGGGGACCGGGTCAGGAAGCTGGATCCGTGGGCCAGGTCCCTTAGACCCCCGAGGCTTGTGCCTGGAAAGCACCCCCTCCCGAGCATTAAGGACAAAAACAAGACCAGAGTTAAGAGGGAGTAAATCCAATCGAGTTCTGCAAACCTGGGTTATCTTTTGAACGACTGTTCCCATGATTTACAAAATTAATTACCTAGGAAAAATTAGGCGCCCGGCCTCGCAGGCCGGGGCTGCGGTGGAGCTGCCCCAACCCCTGCCCCCTCCCCACATGGGTGGCAGGAGGGGCCGGCTTGGCGGGAGCAGACTTCCCCCCTGCCCTCCCCGCCGGGGCTCGGCCGCACTCACTTGAAGAAGTCGTCCTTGCAGTAGACGCTCTCTCCGCGGCTGAAGCAGCGCTCGGCCAGGGGCGCGTGGCAGTCGCTGCACCTCAGACACTTGCTGTGCCAGTGGCGGTCCAGCGCCTTGAGGATGAAGCGGTCCAGGATGTGCTGGTCACAGCCGGCACACAGCGGGATCTCTGTAGGCCGAGGAGCCGCCACCGTCAGGGGTGCCGCCCGGAGAGGGAGCATGGTGGTCACCTTCCCGCTCCAGCCTCCGGGGCCGGCCGGGGCTGCCAAGGGACACCCCCTTCCCTGCAACCCTCTTCCCCAGCTGGCACGAGTGGCTGCTTGGCCTGCCAAGCGTAGCGAGTACCCAGCACCGAAGTCCAGAGCCGGGCCCGCGGTTAAAATTGGGGGAAACTGAAAACGGTTTAGAAGTGTGCCCTTGAGCAGGAAGGGGCCCAGGCCGCCCCGTTAGGCCAGACACCGTCGATTGCAAAGTGTTCCCAGTTAGCACGAAGGGTGCGCGTTGAGCTCAAATGAAAATCCCGCCCTAGGGGCTCTCTCCGTCACCAGGAGGCAAGGCATGGTCGTGGGGCACCCACCACCCAACCCCCATCATTATTTTGCACAATTAGATACCATTGCAGCTGGAGACTGCTTGTTTAAGCGTGGCCACCCAGCCCCGTGGCCCTGTCTGCAGGCACCAACGTAAACACTGGTGTCCTTGTCATCTTTGGGAACCCTGGGGGGTACTTATGCATGGGCTGGACAAATGCATCCTGGTCACCAGATCCAATCTCCGGTGCCTGGCAAGAGTTGCTGGGACTTGGTCCTGCTGCCCCGGGACTGCAGGCTTCTGGGGGAGCCAGGCTGGGGAAACTCTGGAGTGGCCTGCGGGAGCCACTTGGCCCATAAGGGGCTTTGCAGGGTGCCCGTGGGGTGAGTGTCCCTGTTGATTTAGAAAAGGTCTTCCGAAGAGGAGAGCCAGCGGCAGGACTGGAACCAGTGCAAACACCATGCCCACCTCGCGGTGCCCTCCTGGCCAGCCGCCGGCCCCTCCCGCTCCAGGCCGGCCGGTAGTGCGTGGGGGACCAGAGAAGGGCCTCCCTCCTGAAAGAACGGGATCGACCTCCGTCCGCAGAGACCGGAAACTCCAAACGGACGCGATCCCGCGTCGGGCCAAACCGCGGCCCCAGGTGCAGGAGCGCGGGCATCCGCCGCGCGACCCGGGCCCCCCTCGCCGGCCGCCAGGGCAGCCGGCCTGCAGCT